AAATACCCTGTATCATCTTCATGTGACTGTGTAAGTTTTACTAGCAGAGCAGAAAGTAGAAGATGATAAAGATCAGGGATGGTGGGTATAATGGTAGACCACTTTTTATACTGAATATATAAATTTTTATAGGCCAGTATCATCTTTGCTTTTTAAGCTGAGCACTTTCTGCTATATATCTCCATAAATCCGCTGTACTGTCAGACCATCTCCTCCACTGTTGATTGAGCCCCTAGAATAAAATTTTATTTGAGGGTATACTTTTAATGCAAACTAATATTTCTTCTATATCTATTTTAAGTTCTAGGAATAACCAAAAGCATAAATAATTAATGTATCTGTCTCTAACCTATCTAATTTCAGAGAGGTTCACAGAAAATCTATAAATGGTACATATGTTCATTTCATTCCCTGCTGAAAATATATATTTTCTGTGAAAATATATTTGGGTTTTAAAACTCTGATTTAAGAGTGTCAATACACTGAATATACAAAACATTATTTCTCATTGGTTTTAAAGTAAAACACACACACACAGAGATCAAGAAAAACAAAATTTGAGATTAAAAGTTGAAATATATTGGATTAAACTGACATTTGATTCCATTAATATTCTAATTTCACTCTAGACCCAACAATAGGAGACTTGCATAAATTCTTAACAATTTTATGTAGCACAGAAGCTTTAATATGTGGATAATGGCATGTAGAAATTTAGGATTGCTGCATTGTATACACAAGCCAATCAAACTGAGATGTTTAGTGGTTTCTGTCTCTGGGAATCTTAGCACGGTTTCCTATCACTGCATTTATCACAAGGCTTTGTGCTTCATACAGGTACTTTATTACTGACTGACTAAAAGAATATTTCAGGCATTACTATCCATTTTCACAATAGTATTCTGCTTAATTATTATCAGAAACATGATGACTCGGTAACATTCCTTTCCTCAAGTATGATTATAACTCATTGCTCTACTTACTGTCTCCCCGGCAGAGTAGAGGTCCCACTTTATAAGCTGCTTCTGAATGCGGTCGGCCTGTGTCTGTAATCACTATCTTAGTTACTGGGAGATGTTCTTTATAAGAAAGGAATCCAGTGTCATTGGTCCTATAAAACAGCAGCAATAACAAAACTCGTAGAATTATTCTCATTTACATAATTATGAAATAAACAATAATTCTTCTTGTAGTTCAAAACCAAGACGTTCTGAGCTAAATTTGCACACACAAAAGAGTAAACGTAAATTGCTCACCTGAGCACATAATAACATGGTAACATTTTAACATCTTCTGTAGATAGAATATAGTTGGTAATTTTTAAATTCAGTTAGCTGTTTTCTCCCTTTTAACTGGAATGGTTAATCCATTTACACTTAATGTAATGACTGATGTTGGGCTCTGTCTTAGTTATCTAGTGCTGCTATAACAGAAATACCACAAGTGGACGGCTTTAACAAACAGAAATTTATTCTCTCACACTTCAGAAGTCTAGAAGTTTGAATTCAGAGTGTCAGCTCCAGGGGAAAGCTTTCTCTTCCTGTTGGATCTGGGGAAGGTCCTTGTCTTCAATCTTCCCCTGGGTCTTGGAGCTTCTCAGCGCAGGGACCCCAGGTCCAAAGGACGTGCTCTGCTCTCAGCTCTTCTTTCTTGGTTGTAGGGGGTCCCTATCTGTCTGCTCGCTTCTCTCTCCTTTTATCTCTTATAAGATAAAAGGTGATGCAGGCTGCATCCCAGGGAAACGCCCCTTAAGTTGGATCACAGCTGTGACCTGAGTAAGGGTGCTGCATCCCACTCTAACCCTCTTTAACATAACCTAATCTTGCCTCATTAACTACATACAGGTAGAGATTAGGATTTACAATACATAGGAAAGTTACATCGGATCACAAAATGGAGGACAACCACATAATACTGGGAATCATGGCCTAGTCAAATTGACACACATTTTGGGGTGACACAATTTAATCCGTAACAGGCTCTTGGTTTCTATTTATATCCCTCAGTTGGGGACATAGTCTTTGCTATAAATGGGTAGACATTCTGGAGTTTCTATGCAAAATGGAGAGATTTACAAAACCCATCTAAATTATTGTTACTGTCTTTGTGTGCCTTCAAGTTGATTCCTACTCATACAGACCCTATAGGACACAACAGAGCTGCTCCATAAGGTTTCTTAGGCTACAAATCTTTATGGGAGCATACCACCAGGTCTTTTCTCCCGTGGAGCAGCTTTTGAGTTCTAACCACTGACCTTTCGGTTAGCAGCCAAGCACTTAACCACTGTACTACCAGGGCTGCCCATCTAAATTAGTGGGACTCAAACTCCAGATTCCAACTCCCCTATGATAGAAGGAGCTGAAATCCTTGAATAGCTTTTATCATCTTTCCAGATACAGCTTTCTGTTTGGGTCAGGGGTCAGATGAGGATCTGATGGGAGTATATATATTGGCCTCCACCCCCCTTAA